TGGTGTCCAGGCTCGGAGTACAAGGCAGGTGTCTGTTGAGGCTGCCACAGCCTCCCAGCATCCACACCCGGTCATTGCGAGACCCGGCCTGTTCACCACTATCCAGCTGCAGGCGCAGCAGCCTGACTGTGGCCAGAGCCTAGGGGGCCTCACAGCCTAGCCAAGTCCCTCAAGTTCAGAAGCTGTGCTCGAGCCGACCCCTCCACTGAAGCTCAAAGCCCAGGTCCAGCCTTTGCACACGTCCCGTGTAGGAGCCTCTCTGATGACAGCAGTGGGGGGAGGTCAGCCAGGTGGATGCCGCTCTGCGTGCAGCCGAGGTGGCCTTTTCCTAGGAGCGTGGCTTTCCTGCTGCTTCCAGGCAAGGATGTGGCTCCGAAAGTGCCCGCTGAGCACTGGGCCAGGAGCGCTGGCCTGGCTGTGGCTCCTCTGCCTCTTGTCCCCACGAGGGGCCATGTCCATGTCCTCGGCTACAGGTGGAGAGCAACAAGTGACCAGGACAGCACGAGGCAAACTTGGGGCCTGAGACGTACCAGGAGGCACTGACTACACCTTAGAAGCCACATAGCATCTGCCTGCTGTGTCTGGTTGGGGACTCAGCACCTGGCCACAGGCTCCCAGCGGGCCGAGGCATCTGTTCTCGTGAGCACTGTGGAATCGTGAGGATGAGGAAGTGTCTGCGTCTCCCACAGACGTTGCAGAGATGGGGCACCAGTGTTTGTTGAATGTGTAGCTGAACCACCAGACACATGAGCCTAGAGGAAGTGCTTGTCTGTGGGGAAGAGCTACTCACAGAAGGGACTTTATGGTGATCAGTGCAGCACACACTTGGTGTGGAAATCAGAAATGTCAAGGCACATCGCAGGAAGAGAACTCCACCACTGAGTCCTGTGACCGTTCGCGAGAGGCCCTCCCTGGGCTCCCTCAAAGAGGTACAGAGCCTGGAGGCCCAGCAGTCCTCTCCTCTGCTTTCTCTCCCCGCTGCCGTCACCACGGCCTGTACATGGAAGGGTCTTGGGGGTCCCGGCAGGAGGAGCTGCTGCAGCTCCACTCACTGGGTCATCCTGCGGCCACTGGTGCAGACCCTGAGTCTGCTGTCTCGAGGAATGCACAGACGTGGCTGTAGTGAGCCCCACATCTGTCACTTTGAGGACAAGAGTACCCAGGGCACCCCTGGGCTCGTAGAGGTTCTGTGACAGACCGGGGCCTCCCGGCATTGAGAGAGATGAAGGCTGGGGTCCCCGTGTTAATCTGTGATAGGAGGGGCAGCCCCAGCCCTGGCCGTGACCGCAAGGAGAGTAGACAGGTTCAGGGCAGCCAGACCAGCCAGACCCACACAGCAGAGGTGTGAGGGCTGGACTGCAGGGCTGGAGTCCAGGCGTCTTCAGCGGAACCTGAGTGAGTAAAAGCCTTCAGGGTCCAGCTGAAAACAAGATGCATCCCGAAAGACATATTTCCCTTTGTTTCCAACTGTCAAGTTAAGAATGAAATAAACACGTTCCACTTAAATAGCAACAGAACCATAGAAAGCCCCGGAATAATTATAGCAGGGGAAAAAACCACAAGCAGACAATTTCTGTAAACAGAGGTCAAAACAGCACGTTGTACCCTTAAATATATACAGCAGTTTGACAATTAAAAATGGCCGGGCTCAGTGGCTCAGCCTGTAATCCCGCACTTTGGGAGGCCGAGGTGAGTGGATTGCCTGAGCCCGCAGGTTTGAGACCCGC